ATGGCTCCGCGGAATGCCGCAGCCAGCGTGGGGAAGCAGCGTGGGGGGAGCGCTGCAGTGGCAAGCCAGTGGCTGGTGGGAGAGGGACTGGCTTTCCAGAGTGGGGAAGCATCCCGAGCCACCCCTCGGGCAGCGGGTTTAGGGAAGGGTTAGGCACGGTGCGGAGCACTGGAGTCACCATGAAGATGAGGAGGCAGTGAGCGACAGCAGGGAGACCGGGGATTGAACGGCACTGGGAGCCAAGTGCACAGAGTGGGACAGGGCACCCCGAAGTGTGGGCTTGTTGTGTGTCCTGTGCTAATTCCTGGGAGGGACTGAGGATGAGTGGGAGCCTGGAAATCTGGGAGTAAGCAGGGAAGTTCTGGGCAGAAACAGGAGCTTTTTGTTTGAAGGTGGTTTAAAGAAACAGTTTGCCTGTAGGTAACACACTGTGCAGAAGGGCAGGGATAGTGTTAGGAAGCAAATTTCAGGGTCAGGATGGATCACATGAGGTCATAAAACTGTGACAGTCACCCTGAACAAGGTAACTATTCTTCTGGGCTGTGCTTGCTGCTCAGCTGCAGGCCACAGAGGAAGGAGTCCTGCCTAGTCCCCTGAGTACCCCAAGTTCCACAGGGATGGGATGGGGAAAGGCTTGAAGTGCACTTCCTCAGCACAGGTTACTTCTCAAAAGGCAGCTTGCCTGCTTCTTTCCTTGGTCCTGGGCTGTGAGGCATCCCGAAGCACCCCTGTGCCACAAGACCCAGTGCCTCAGGGACTAGAGGGGCTCCTGGCACTACGCTCCCAGGGCCTCGGGCTTATTCTGTATATCCATACTCAGCTGATAGGGACCCAGTCTCCAGGGAAACAGCCTGCTCTTCTAACATTCCTGCCCAGACCCAGTAAATCTCTTTTCTGGAAGGACAGATGACAAAAGTCAGCCTGGACAACAGTGGTGGCTGGCTTCCCACAAAGATCCCTCTTCTGGAGAGGAGCTGCAGACATCACCTACCCTCTGTCTTCTCCACTCCCCGTACAAGATCCGCCATCTCCAGAGGATGCAAGCAGGTGGGAAAGTCTCACCTGACTTTTGCTAATGCTGTGTCCTGGGATGGTAGAGTTGGGAAGCTTCACAGCAGAGTGGAGCTGCTACATAGTGCCCAGCAGTGTTGCTGCTGGCTCTGCTTTGCATCTGCAGTCACGGAGGTGCTGGGTTCCCTGCAAAAAAAGCAGGCTTCTCAAGAAGGAAAAGACCTCCACAAAAACCTAGCTTTCTGGAAAGCCCTGGACGGTCTTGTTGCTGGAAGTAGTTCAGGGCAGGGCTGCCTGCTCTGATGGAGGATAGGCTTCTCCACCACTGCTGCCCAGTATCTCCCATCCTGCCGGTCCCAGTGGTGGGGAATGGCAGGATTTCTTATATGTCTGTCCAGAAAATAGGGCAGCACAGCTGGTGCTCCTCCACCACCTTCCCTGCGCGAGCCTGACAGATAAATTTCACTATCTCCTACCACCCACCTGTGCCGGCTTCCCTCACTCTCTACATTTCCTGATCCATTTCAACCCCTACAGCACCAGGGCACTGGAGGGATAAGGACAAAAAGCAGCAGTGGGGACCCTGTTTTCTCACCTCTTGCATTAAGACCTTTACTGGGGCAGCAGAGCAGTGCCCTGACCTTGAGAGGCACCACTGATTTGGACTAATTTGGGTCAAGGGCCATGCTATGAACCGTGCTCTGCCTGTACCTTCACCTCTCTTCTGCCTGCACACGAGGTCAGGCTCCTGCAAACAAGCCTTGAGCCATGCCTTGGACTCAGAATGAAGCTAGGACCTCTGCACTGGGCCAAATCACGCCGAGGGCAGCCAGGGAATGGTGCCTGGGGAGAAAGGACCTGCGTGGGGAATGGTGCAAGGGGGGAAGGGCAAGGTCCCAGCGGTCAGCCTACAAATAGAAAGGGTCATGGGAGAGTGCCCAGCTACTGGGACAAAGGGCCTGCAAGACGTGAATGGGGTTGTAGAAGTAGTTCTGGCAGGGAAGTGAGCGGCGGCCCTGCCCCAGGAACCCCAAGAATGCGGAGGGTTCCCTGGAGGTGCTCCCTTTTGGTGCAGGCACTCCCGGGGCCATCCAGGAACATGTGACTGGCGGGCTAGGAAGAGAGCCAGCACTAAGAGAGGGCTGGGACTGACACAGGAAGGTGACGGAGCCAGCAAGCGGTGGCTGTGCCAGCGGTCGGGTGACATCCCCACGGGACGGGTAACCAAACACCATCCCCAGCTGGCTGTTTCGGGGGATGGCAAAAAGGAAAGCGTTTCTTGCCCCGTGGTACCGTGTTCCCGGGACAGGCTCTCTGGCCGGCCCCGCGGCGGTCCTGTAGAGGGAGGGGAAGGAAAGGCAGCAGCGGCCAGCACCGGCAGGAGCGGGGCCGGGACAGCCGCACAGCCCTGGCCGCTCCGCACGGCCGCGGGACGGCTCCCAGCGCTTCCCCGAGCGCTGCCGCTGCCGGGGACCCCGCTCCGCCCCAGCACCCACCCCCGCCCGAGGCAGCCGGGGCACCGCCGCGTCGCTTACACGTCTCCCCGGGGGCTGCCGATCCTTCCCGCGGCGCCGCCGCCCGCAGGGCACGGTCCCGTCCCGCAGCGCCCGGTGCCAGCACTGCCGGCCGCTAGCCGGGTCCTAGCAGGCCAGGTCCTACCGCTTCCCGCCGCGCCAAGGGCACCGCGCGGGCGGGCTGGGACAGCCCTCGGCTCCGGGGCCGCCGGACTGCAGCCAGGTGCCCCCACCCCTGGCACCCCGCTCTCACCCGCCGCTCCAAAGCTGTATCGGCCGCACCTGAGAGCGGGAGGCTGCTAGGGTCGCCCGGCTACCGCAGCTCGGGCACAGGAATGTCCAGCGCTCTGGCTTTTCCCCAGTGTCTCCCCTCTTCCTGGCTGGCCCTACTGCCCTGGGAGGGGGGCATAGCCGTGCTGTCCTTTTGCGAGGCAAGGAGGGCAGGGTGCAGGCAGCCAGCCCCTCCACTGCTGCTCCTCGCTTTCACTTCCCCCTGCGCCGGCATCAGGCTCCGAACCCTCCTTGTAGCTTTGGGATTAGGATGCTCCGGACCTTGGTGGGGTCCCTCAGTGTGTGATGGCCCCAGAGCTCAGCACAGGCTCCCGGCTGCAGAGTGACCTTGCAGCAGGACTGCCGAGCCGCCGAAATGGGGGACAAGACCTTGGCTCAGCGGAGGAGGCTGGAACCAGTCCCTCTCCTTGGTGCCCGGCAGAACAAGGCACAGCAGGGACAACGCTTGCTCGGGTCACCTCCCTGCCTGCACCGTGTCCTTACCTCGATAGCTCAGCTCTCCTGGTGCCAGATGATGCTGCCTGCAGACTCCTCACTGCCTGGTGCCAAGCAGGGCTGGGATTTCCCACGGCAGCAGGACCAGGGTGCAAAGGCTTCACCACCCTACAGGCTCTGCAGCCGGAGTGGGTTTCAGAGCCCCGGCGCTGGCTGGGGCTGGCTGAGCACGGCTTCCGCTGGCTCAGCAGGTGGAGGCTGCATGCACGGGCAGATTAGTGGGGGGGGGAGGAATTGGCTTCAGCCATAAGAACGCGGGATTCGTCAGCGGGTTGCTGTGGGGCCAAGTGCCAGCACAAGGGAAGAGAGAGGGGAGGCTGTGGGTGGGCAGCTGCCTCGGGGGGACAATAAAGCCTGTACAAGGGGGGTACACCGAAAGCCATGCTGCAGGTGCCAGCATCATCCCTTGGGATGGTGTTATCTCTCTAGTAGCACGTGTCACCCCGTGCTCCTGTGCTGGACTTGGGCCATGGTGGGACTCATGTTGATCTTTTCAGCATCGATCCCTGGGGCCAGCAGGGGGGCCCTTAGTAAAGCACCCTGCACCCACTGCCCCTCTGCTGGGCCCCACAGCTCTCAGGAATGAACTGGCACCAGCCCACCAGCTGCTCTCCCGGTATGTGCAGACAGAGCTGGAATGCTGTGCCTTGGCCTCCTCGCTGGCCTGGACAGGCCTGGCCCCTGCCCAGGGCATCTCTCCTCCCAGCCTTACCATCCTGCTTGTCTTTTCCCATTAAGGAAGTGCAGGCAGCTGAGCTTTGGTGCTGGAGGAAAACAGGTGTCAGAGCCAAGAGTGATGGAGCCAAGTGGAGGGTGGTAAGACACAGGGGAAGCTCAGACAGCACACTCCCGCCCACACAGCAGCACCTTGAACGGGCATTCCCTCCACCCCTTGCTGGGAATGTGGATAAAGTCCCTCTGCTGGTGACCCTGGTGTGCCCACCTCCATCTCAGTGCCTGTCTCCAGCCCCAGGAATGCTGAAGGAGGGAGATGGGGTGGCAGGAGCATTTCTGCTCTCCCCGCCCTTACTGCAGAGCTGGGCTGCAGCCAGTACTTCTATTTTAAGCCCCACAATGTGTTTGAGGAGGCGAGTGGTGTGCACAGCTGAGCCTGACAGCCCGAGAGGGAGAGGCCCTGCAACCCACGTCCCTGGAAACTTCCTCTTCTCTCTCTAGGGCTGGTACAGGCTCAGGGCAGGTTGGACCAGCTGCTTTTCCCCCTTCCCAGTACAGGCAGCAATTAGGGCAATTGAAACTGACGTGGTCTGGTGAAGTTACTGCAAAAATATCTGGGCTGCAGGAATGGGGGTCTGGTTACACAGCATTCACCTGCTGTGACCTAGGCTGGCAGCCACCCTGTGAGAGAGGAAGGCTGGGTAGGTTTGGCAGGCAGGAGTATTTACTCTGCAGGTAGTGACTTCCTTGCTAAGCTCCCAGGGCAGGGAAAAGGGGCCCAGATAGCCTGTGGGATTAGCTGGGCTGAGTGCAGGCAGAGGAAAAGTAAGTGACAAAGTATCTTTGTGAAAAGTACCAAATAGCTCAGGCTTCCCCCTAAGCAGGACTGAAGCTCACTGCAGAGCCCTCCTGATCCGAAGCTGCCCTGACTCCTTAGCGAGGACCACCTTGCAGAGAGCTCCTTTCCTCCTGTGCCAATGGGTGCTGCTGGACAAAAGAGCTCCCACACTAAGCGTCTATTTATCTTTTAATAAAAACCATCATCCACCCCCCTCTGCTTGTGCTGTGTGTCATTAGGATGCCTGGGAGAGCACTGGGCAGGAGGGGTGCTCAGCGCCAGGCTGAGGCTGGGGGCTACAGTGGCTGGGGCACAGGGTAGCCCTGAGGCTGGCTGGAGCAGAGCCGCTTGGCACAGCCTCTTGCCCCTGGGGAGGCAGCGAGCCATGAATTGGTGCTGGGAGCAGAGACTCCAGAATGGCCCAAGAGGAGGACAAGAGGCAGGTTAAGGTGTTTCCTCCCTTTGCCTGGGGCTCACTCTTTCTTTCCAAAGAACTTCTTGAAGACAGATTTGTTCTTGTTGCGAGGGGGGCTGGTGGTCTTCTCGCCTCGTGTGTCCCGGGGGCTCCCTGTTTGTGCCACAAAGGAGTGACAGCGTGCCCGGGGCATGGCCGACACCTGCTCCCCGATGTACAGCGTGACGGAGTAACTGCTCCCAGCCTCCACTGCCTCCTGGGGCACGGCCACTGGCGTGATCTTCTGGTAGGTGGCTGCAAGAAGGAGAAGTCAGTGGAAGGGGCAGGGTGCCAGCAGGCCCTGGCAGCCCTCTAGGGCCCTCCCCAAATGGAGGCTGCAGCCAAGGGTACAGATATGTAGGACCAGGGGAGTGCTGGAGCAGCATTGCATCTGTCCTCGGCTGCCTGTGGGGACAGAGGCAGTGGTGCCACCTCCTGGCGGTGACAGCGACATCAGGACTGTACCTGAGGTGAAGGAGTAGGACCTCCTCTTGTTGGCCACCAGCCCGTAGTCGTCTTCTGGGCAGATGTTGTCCCACAGTCCAGGGGACGTCCTGGGTGACCACTGCTGCTCCTTGTGCCCAGTCCCCTGAGCATTCTCTGAAGCAGAATAGAGGCATGTCACAAGGCACAGGACACCCCTGTGCCAGCCCCAAAGAGAAGAAGGCAATGTACGACTCTCTCAGTATCCCAGGAAGTGAAGTAAATGTTCCCTTCCCCAAGCCCCAAGCCCTGGGACTCCTAGCCCAGATACGACCAAATTCAAGACTGACTGACAGCCTTCAGCCTTCTCCAGCTGTCTCCCCTGTACCTCTCTGGGCTGGGGAGAGAAGCTAGGGGACAGTGGCAACCCAGCCAGAGAGGAAAGTCACCTGCTGCTGCCACAGTCCCATCGACTGGGCCGTCCTGGCTGCCCAGAGGCTGCTGCAGTAGTGAGCTTGCACAGGGTAACACCACAATCTCCTGGCTCTTAGTGGTTGTGACCTGATGATGTCCCTGCAGGTGGGAGGTCCCAGAGCTGGAGACTTTGCTGAAACTGAAAGAAACAGAGATTTAGCAAACCAGACTGGCCCACCAACGTCCTGCTGGAGCAGCACTCACTGGCAAATGTGAGAGACATAGCAAGACCCAGCTGGCCAGCTCCTGGCAACTCACCTGCCAGTACCACCAGTGCCCTCAACACGCCGTGCTGCCGCCTGGAAGTAATCCACTTCAGGAAAACCTGAGGGCACAGCAAAGATCCTGCTGGATGCTGGCAGTGCACAGGACTGTCACACAGAGTCAGTCCCTGATCCGAGTGCCCATGCTGCATGGCTGGCTCCTCCAGCCTCCTGCTCTAGTGCCTGCTCTTGTCCTGACAACCAGCCTAGGATTTCATAGCAAGGCTTGAACTCCTCAGGTATGGGTACAGCAACAGGAGGACCTCATTATTACAGGTCTCCTTGCCTCAAGGGCAAGCAAAGCATTTCCAAGCCCAGAGGATATGGAGGAAGACCAAAGCACAATTATAATTTTCCTGACAAGGGCTTTTTGCTGCTGAGGCACCACTGACGTCAGTTGTGCTATTCCTGATTTATAGCTGTGTATGTGGTGTGAAAACAAAGCCTCCAAATCCTGCCTGGCAGAGAAATGCTGTTCCCAAGGCAGGCTAGGAGGATGCATAAATCAGAGTAAAATGTTGTGCTGCTTCTCTTCTGACCCCCCATGTATCAAAGGGCTCAGCTGGGGCTGAACAAACATGGTAACCACATAGAGCTGGGCCCCTGCTCTGCCGGCAAGGACTGCTCACCTGAGTTTTGCTGCAGCTTTGAGACCCATTCATTCATGAGAGGCTGGGTGGGGGCCCTCAGGAGGTATTCAGAACCATCCTGCAGCCTGCAGGGAGAGGGGAAGGACAATGATGTAGAGTGCAGATACAACAGCCCCCACCAGACCAGAAAAGAGATGCAGGTAAGAAAGAAGGAAGGAAGGAAATCCTCATCTAATCACTGAGCTGGTCCTGCCTGGGGCTGTTGGCATGTGTCTACCCCAGCAGGCACACACTGGGAAGGGCTGTGGTTACTGCCCTGGACTGGGGACTCACTGAAGCCTGAAGCAGTTGGTCTTCTTGGTGTACTCGGCATCTGGGGTGCAGACTGCCCCAGAGAGGTTCAGGGGAAGGGCCACCACGGAGCTCTGCAGCACAAGGGAAAGCAAGAGCAACAGCGGGGTTGGATGGCTCTGCCTTCCCTGGCCATGGGGCCCAGAGCCATCACCCTGCTGCCAGCCTCCTCCCACGTCACCCCAATGTCCCCCACCGCACCTTGAGGCTGTCCCTGCGGTCCTGGTAGAAGCACAGCGTCTGCCTCATCAGCACGGCATGGAAGAGGCCCCAGGCACGGCAGCTGGCCTGTGGGACACAAGCAGGGGACAGCTGTGATGCCAAGAGCTTTGGAAGAAGATTCATGGTCTCATGACGCTCAAAATGCAGCCCAGCCCTTCTGAGGCTCTGCCCTTCCAGAATGGCCATCAGTACTGCCATGGTAGTTCCAGAATCATCCCTGGCTTCCCTCCATCCCCTGCCATGTCCCAGCACTCCTGTCCCAAAGGAGCCCCACAGCCATGTCTGTACCTTTCTCCCTCCTGTCTGCAATACGTGCTTCCTTTCCAGCGTCCCCTCCATCATCTGAAACTCCATTTTACCAGGAAGGACCTGCAAGGACACAGAGAGTGAGCAAGAACTTCTCTGGGGCTGGAGGTACCAGCTCAGCCTCCATGCACATGAGGTCTGTATGACCCATCCCTGGTGAGTGATCCCAAAGTGGGAGCAGGATGACAACCAGGAACAACTTTCTCACCTGGGCAGGGGCTGGGCTGTGTGTCAGCTTTAGAGGTGAAGTGCCACCTTGCTGAGGCTATGGGTTGTTGGGAGGTGTGTGTGCTGCAGGGACCCTAAACACCACACCTAGCCTTTCCCCCCCAGCTGAAGAAAAGAGGCCACTGGAGCCAGGGGGTCCCAAATATAGGTTATGTTTGCTGGAGTGGGTAAGCCAGCTGCTGCCTTGGGTATTCCCCAGCCCCCTACCTGACCCTGAGGAGAAGTCTCTGGTCTGTGGATCTCACCTTGCTGCTCTCTCTCTCCTCTTGCCCATGCCTCTGCTGATCCCAGGCACTGGAAGCATCCAAGGGGGCTGCAGACACCAGCTCCTCCACGTGGGAGGAAACCCCGACCCCACTGGGGCTGCCACTGCCACTGTGCACCACTCTGGGGCTCTTCTCTCCCTCCGGGCTGTGGAGCAGCTGAGCAGTGGTGGGAAGGCTGAATTTGGCCACTAGCACGTTGTTGGCTGATGAGAGGATGAGGGGACCGCCAGCAGTAGCGCTGGGGCTGGGCAAGCTGCCTGCCCTGCTGCCCGTCCGGTGGCTGGCACAGCTGCCTGCCCGTGGGCTCTGTGCCCGTTGCTCGTGTGCCCCATCCCAGATGGCCTGCAGTTCCTCCTCCTCTTCTTCAAACTGCCTGTGGGCAGGGTGGCAAACTTCCTTAGTGCCCAGTGCGGGGCTCTGGGGCTGTGGAGACCGCAGGGCCCACTCAAAGACAGAGAGCTGAGTGGGAGCAGCAGGGGAAGCTGGGGACCCTCTGGGCTGGCTGCTGCTGGCTGGCTGCTGTGCACAGGCAGGGCTGGGGATGGCTCCAGCCCTGCCTGGGATGCTGGCAGGGGATGATCCAAGCTCTAGCCAAGCGGCTCTGTGATGCCTGGCCCTGCCAGCAGCAGTGGGGCTGTCATCCTGGCCAGAGCGGGTGGCCGGCTCATCCCCCGCACCGACACGGGACAGCTGGCTCGGCCTCAAGTCCAGAAGGTCTTTACTGGTGCTGCTGAGGCGCTGCAGGTTCCAGTGCTCCTTCCCTGCACAGTGTGCCCTTTGCTGGCTGTAGCTGGGGTTGAAGCTCACCTCCTCAAACCACGTTTCTTGCTCACTCTTGGGGGACGTTCCCCGCCTCTTGCTGGGCCTCTGGGGACTGTGCCCATCTTTCTGCCATCCAACTCCATGTGTGCCTGTGGGCTTCCAAGGCCTCACCCCTCGATCCTGCCTCTGCTCCTGCCCCTCTGCCTCTTGCTGCTGTGCCGCAGCCCCTCGGCGGCACCCCAGGACCACTGCATCCCGTGGCAGCTCCAGGCTGAGCACAGAGCCCAGGGAAACACGGGGACATGTGATTTTTGGGTTAGGGAGGCAGGGCTTCTGAGGGGCTGCCCCACACTCGGCATCGATGTCCTGCACCAGCGGGTTCCTGACATAGAGGAGCAGCTCCCCGAGCTGAGGTCCAGCAGCAGCTGCCCCTGGCCCCCCCTTCCTCCAGCCACACTTCTGAGGCCACGTGTAGCTGGGGCCATGGCATTCCTCAGGCGTGGGCCGCAGGGAGCTGTCGCCCATGATGCCCCGGAGGGTCAGCAGCCGCGCCTGCTCTGCCCTGGCCTGCTCCCGCCGCTGCAGGCTGTGGAAGAGACAGCCAGCCCCGGCCTTAGGCAGGGTGTGGGACACAGCCAGCATCCCTCCGCTGGATGCTGCAGGGCGGCGGACAACAGCGGGCGGCCGCTTTGCCGTGCAGGCTTTCCTGGCCTCCACCTGCACCTGGGGAAACAGAAGGAGAGAGGTGTGATCTCCATCGCTGGAGCTTCCACCACCCTGCGCCATCTGCCCCCTTTCCATGCTGCATCTGGGAAAGCAGGGAGCTGCAAGGGCAGGCAGACAAAAATGCTCACCAGCAGTACATGCAGTGCTGGGAATGACGGAGCTTCACCTCAGTCCCCTGAGGGCTGCTCCCACACTGGTGCAGGCAGGGTAGAGGCAGACAAGGGAATTGGCCAAGATGGAGTCCCCAGGTGTGGTACAGCTGGGGCTGACTCTGCCATACAGCTTTTCCCTGGCACTGCTGACCTCCAAGCCATCACTTTTGGGTAGCTACTGAGACAGCAGTCACTGTTGTCCATGCCTGCCAGCCCTGTATGCTCCAGGCAGTAAAGCAATGAATGCAAGGGCAGGGACTGAGTACCAACCCTTCCCCTCCCATACCTTGCAGACCCTCTCCCAGGCTTCCACAGCTGCAAGAGTCTGCAGGAGCTGGAGCAGTGCCCCCCTGGGTCCATTAGGCTGGGTGGCACCCATTACCAAAACCCTCCTGACAGCTCAGCAGCCCCTCACCCTTCCTCAGTGCCCTCCAGCCTCTCCATCCTCCTGCCCTCTCCCTTGGGCTACTGAGCCTGGCTGCCCCTGGGGCTCCTCACACACAGACCTTTTTGCACAGGCTCTGGAGCAGCAAACAGATGCGAGGCCCAACAAATTCCCAGACTCCAGGGTTACAAGCCAAACAAGCTGGAGTGAGATCCCCACCCCCCAAAATTATGCACCTCACACAGCCTCAACCACCCTTGTCCCCTTCAGCTAGCCACACAAGGAACTGCTGCTGCCCCCAGCAATGGAGCAGGGAGGCTCTCCCACTGGCCACCAGCTAGCCATACCTCCCATGGTCACCAAAACTACTTGAATAGGTGGCCAAACTGCAGCCTGACCCTCCTTCTCACATGTCTCAGTAACTCACATTCTGGACCCCACAGCACCAGAAGGGTTCTCCCTTTCCCAATGGACCACTGCCAACAAGGGCACAGTGGCATGGCCAGGAGGGTTGGTGTCAGGCAGGTTCACGCCATGCAGCCACTCTGCCCAGCATGCACAGCCTTTCCCGGGACGTTACCTCTTCCACCAGCTGGCGAGGTGGCTTTCTTTTTCGCTTTAAGCTACCCCAAGTGTTTCCTAAAAGCCCCTGGCAACGCTTCCAAAAGGTTTTACAGCCTGAGTGTTTAGTGGCGGGGAGCTGAGCAAGGGGAGAGAAAGAGACACACAGAGAGGACAGAGTGGGCAAGGAGCTGCAGCAGGAGAGCACAGGCAAAAGTGGGTGGCACAAGCCAGCCTCAGCCCTAAGGCATCACACAGCATCAGCGCGGCCAAAGGCCTCTCCTCCTGAGACACACAGTCCCAGCAGCTCACTCAGAAATGGCCTGGAGGGGTCTCATCTTGGGGGTCACCCTGCAGCCCTCCAAGTCTGCATGGGGCACAGCTCCAGAGAGCTCCCTGGCTGCTTGCCCATGGCTCTGCCAAAGCCACCCACCATCCCCCCCGTACCGTCGGCAGTGCCTCCTCCCCTGGCTGCTCGCTGCTGGCCAGCAGCTGTGCCTTCTTCTTCTCGCCCTTCTTGCCAATGCTGAGGATGAGGTTGACCGTCTCCCCGAGACCACAGGGGCCCCGTGGTGGCAGCAGTAGCATGGAAGTCTCAGCAGGATCCCAGGTGGCAGCCTCCTTGGGGGATTCTGCATCATGGGGTGTTTTGCTGCTGGGCTCCCCCCAGCTCTGCTCCACTCCTGATGGGGCATCTGAGAGGGGTGATGCAGGTGGGGAGATGACTGTTTTCTCTGGAAGCTTGGGCTCTAATCTTTGCACAGGCTCGAGGAGGGAGCAGGGCATGAACTTCACTGGGCTGTGGATGCTTTCCAGACGGGGTGGACCATGTGAGGCATGCTGCTCCTGGGAAGCAAGGTAAGAGAGGGAACATGAAGGAAGGGCTTGCTGGAGCCATACATTCTCTCAGGACAGCCTTCCCTTTGCCCTGCCTGAACCCCAAAGACCCCCAGAGGTATTGGCACACATCCCTCCCTCACTTCTGCACCACCCATCCCATCCAGTGCCTCTGCTATCCTCAGCCTCAAGGCTGGTCATTCTCCCTGACAGTGTCAGCATGGCTAGGTACTCACTTGACCAGTGGGGGATGTGCTTGAGAGACTCTCTGGGTCCCTCCTGTCCTCCTGTCTGCTCCCCAGATCCTGCTGGTGCCTCTGTGCTCGCCAGCGCACCAGCACCCAGCCCAGCATGCTCTGCAGCTCTTCCAAGCGCTCCTTTATCTGAGGGGAAGAGAGATGCTGGGCAGCCTGCAAGAACTCCTGGCCCAGGGACACTGGCTCGACCAGGATGTCTCACAACAGAGCAGTTAGGAGGTTTTTGGGAGTGGGATACAGTCACATCACTCAGATCTCAGGATCCACTGGATGAAACTTCTTCCTGCCCTGAGCGGCCCCAGGGATGCATAGCTGTCCCCATCTCATTTACTGGGGCTCTGCACCCACACCTTGCTCTTTCTTTCATGGTCTGTCCCCAGAGGACTTCAGGCAGTGCTGAGAATTTCCCCCCGACCTTATTTCCCCTGTCCTTACTGTTGCACTCAGGTAGTGCTCCTCAGACACCAGCTGCTGCCCTGCTGCTGCTAGTGCCTCAAACTCCTTGAGTTTCTCTTCGATCCTCCTCTCCAGCTCCTCACATGGAGTCTCCGGGAGACTGGAGCTGCCCGGGCTTTCAGAGAAGATCCGAGCCCGTGTGTCCTCTGTCCAGGAGCTGTGAGCACGTGAAAGACAGGCTGAGGAATGACCCAACCCTTCTTCAGCCCTGCAGGCCCCAGGGAAGCCATTCCCATGCTCAAGAATAGCGGGAAGCAGCTCAGTGGGGTTGTGGCAAGGCTGCTGGGGCACGACAAGATGCTGCAGGGCTGCCTCACACCAGACAGCTGTGGTGCAACCCTGCATTCCAGGCTCCCCGTGGTCACGCCTGGCTGCAGCTCCAGCACTGCCCACATATTTGCCAATGCCATGCTCTCACCAGCTGCCCCTCAACCACCACAGAAGCAACCCCAACAGCTCACTGCCACTTACATCATGGCCAAATAATCCTTGAAGAAGTGCCGTAGCTGGCTGGCCTGCTGCACACGGAGCCGGGTCTCCTGCAGCAGCTCTCGCAGCCCTGCCCAGGCCCACAGAGTCTCCTGCAGCTCCCGGCTGATGGGGCACTGCCGAGCGGGGCACAGCTCTTGCAAGCGGGCAGCTGCCCTCTCCAGCTCCTCCACCTGCCCTTGCAGGCTCTGTGACACTGCATGCTAAAGATCACAAGGCAGGAAAGGTTCGAGATGCATCCAACCCCTCTGAACCCAGGCTGGACTCCCCTGCATTCTGGGATGCAGGGACAGAGGAGAGGATGCTGGTACATGGGCTGCAGCGAGTGGGCAGAGCTAGCCTCTGTGGGGAGCACAGGAATGGCACCGAACTGCCTGGCTTCTCTGCCCTGTGTGCACAAGTCCTTCCCCACAGTGGGAAGACAAGTGAGGTGCTGGCAGCTGGGTGTTGGCACATGGGAGTTGATGCAAGCTCTATCCCCTTGCCTGGCCCATGCTATCAGAGGGGAGCAGAGCAGGCAGGTCTCAGCTCCACTGGAAAATTCCAGCCTGCTCTGCAACACTGTGCCAAGGCTTACAACACCTGGGCCCCCGGAGAGGGGCCGTGCCTCGCTGGGACAGCCCCAGCCAGCCAGGACACCTCCCTGGCTCTCCTGACTCACCTCCATCTCCTGCTGGCAGCTCAGCAAGCCCTGCAGCCCTTGCAGGTCCTTCTCACTCTTCACCGTGGTGAAGCTGTTCTCTGCTAGGGCAATGTCTTGAGACAGCGCCTTGGCTCTGCGCTGCAGGGCCTCCAGCTGTGGGGATATCTTCGCCACCTGGATGGGCAGGAGGGGACACAGAGGGAGATTAGCCCTGTGGTGGAAGCCCCTGTGCTATCACCTGCCACACAGCCCCAGGCCACCCCACCCTGCCATGCAGCTGCAAAAGGGCAAGTGCCAGTCGTGGGAGAGACAAGGATGCCAGCACAGAGTGGTCCCCGTGAATCCCAATGCCCTTGTGTCCCACTGAGGACAGCTGAAGTGTGTGCCCTATCCCAATTAGCCGGCATGTCCAGATGCAGATGAACCATCCCATTGCATCCCCATTCCCTACCAGACGCTCCAGGTTCTCCGTCTCTGCTGCCACCTCCATGACCCGCTCCCTCTCCTTTGCCACATCATTCAGCATCTCCACGGCCTCCTGCAGCTCTCCCAAGGGGCGGCTCATGTCCTCACTGCTTGGAGACTTCTCAGCCTGGGCTGAGAGCGGGGGAAAACACCCCTGCGAGCCGCAACGCCCACTCCCTGGCTGAAGCCAGCAGAAACACCAGACGTAAGAGACGGGGAGTGACACCCCAGGCAGCTGGGCTGGAGGGGAGCACCCGATAGGGTCCCCTTGCAAACCACAGATCAACCCTTGGTCCGCTCCCAGGTGCTGTGTGATCCCAAGGGATGCCTGCCCCCGCTGCTCACCGCTGCAGATCCCTGCTGGCTCCGTGCCTCCTCCTCTTGCAGGTCTTGCAGGAACTCAGACAGCACCAGGGAGTCCCGCAGATCTGCTGCCCGGTGCCGCAGGGCTGCCTGCACGTGTGCCAACCTGTGTGGAGAGGTGCTCATCAGAGGTGCTGGCAGCTTCTGCACCTCCTCAGGGACAACATCCTCCTCCCCACCCAACCTGGGGATCAGAGAAGAGGCACCTTCCTCCAGGACTCACTTCTCCTCTACCATCTCCACTTTCCTCTGCATCTTCCTTGCCCCCTCGTGCTCAGAGGGCGACTCGCCTGCTGCTTCTTCCCGCAGTGCATGCAGCTTGAGGCCACACAGCAGGAGCTGCTTCTCCAGCTGGCTCATTTCTTCCAGGTCCTGGCGCAGCTCCGCCGGGCTCCTCATGGCAGCTGGTTCCAAGAGCGACCCAGCCACGTCTTGCAGCCACCGCTCAGCCT